TGCCACAAAAAGATCACTCAGTTGGAAGTGGAAAGAGAAAACGGCCAAAGGAGAGAACCTTGCTAGATAAACAATGACATCGTGTCAAATATAGATCCTGAACATCACAAATGTGAAAGCCAGCACTGAATTACATGGCATGAGGCCTTCAACTTTTCCTACCAGGAACCCAAAGACATGGATCAGCTTTTCCTTTCTCTCCTGGAGTAAACAATTTGCACCTTGGTACTCTCAAGAAGAATGTAGGTAGTTTACAAGTCAAAACAGAGCTCCCTTCAAAGATATGTTAAATTGAGGTAAATTCCCCTTAAAAGTATGATCCCTGGTCAAATAGTCCAGGATTGACAAAGTCACCCAAGGTTTACTCGCAAGCAGTCATGTGTTTTGAAAGAAGTCATGTGTTTTGACACAGAGACCAGGCCCAAGCGAGAAACAGAAATGTACACATTTTATAAGTTCTGAACCAACCATGCCACAGATTAAAGTTAGCTCCTCTGCCACACTGTGAGTAAAAATATGAAATGTGTATTAGGTGATTGTGGACAACTGGGGTTTATGGGATGTTTTCCACGGTGCAACGTTGAAAGAGGAAAGGAACAGCATTCAGCAAGACAGCTAAGCAGTCCTTGTGCTGTGACCCTGGATCGGCACACTCCACAGACTGGCAGCATGGGTGTCACGGGAAACCTGCTAGAAATGTAGAATCCCGGCCCCACCCCAGGCCCTCCATCCCTGATCCTGCATTCTAACAACACGTCTAGTAGATCTGACACACAAAAGGGCCTCACAGATGCTGAAGTGTGAGATGCTCTGATACAGAATAAACCTGTGAAATCAACAACTCAAAAGCAGGCAAGGTTACTGCATCAAGCAATTTCAGCTAAATGTAAACATTGCCATGTGACTTTGGCCAAACTGACAAGGAACAATTAAAAACGGGGATTTCCTAAGTTATGCTGCAGATCTTAAGAGGTAGAGTTCTAAAAAGAAACAAAGCCTAAAAGAACAACAGCGTCCCGTGTAGTTAGGAGTAAATTCAGGTGGGAACGAACCTACAAACTGGCAGCAGCACCTATGGCAACAGCACCTGTGAGTCGGAAGCTGCGTTCCCGTGTGTAGGGTTTGAGTTTGTCAGCTGTGCGTGTCCAAAGTTCCTGACTGTAGGGAACAGGGAAAGGGGACGTTACCAGAACCTCTGCAGTAAATCCTAGTCTCCCGCGAGCCACGGCAGCACACGGCGAATTACAGGAAAGGTAGAAAAACGAGACTGAGCATAAACTGAGCTTTGGGCCTGATCAGTGCTGCTCTGGGCGGCAGAGACGAAAGTCCCCGGCTTACCGCACCTTCTATTCAGTACTCAGTAGATCCGGAGAAGCAGATGTAACAAATGACTCGCAGAGAGTTCAGTACATCCGCGTAAATAAGACGTAACAATCCAAGAACAACGAGGAACTGAGTAGATGTTTGTTTCTCCCGGGATGTTTTCAGCTCCCAGGATGTTTCTTGTCCTGGAGAATCACAGCGTCACCGGATCATTGAGGTCTCAGTTGTGACCGGAGGCCAAGCTGGAATTATGTCTGGGAATTCCATAGCTGGGCTGGGCAGGAGAACTAGGCTAACCAAATGATTTTTCCCTAAAATTATGTAGCACTGCTCCCGACACTTGACATCTTTTTGCTTTTCCCATCCCTGCTTCCTGGGTGTTCTTTCCTACCACCATCTTCTAGCACTTTTCCTTCAATTCCTCTTACCAAAGAAGAAATAAGGACAAAGACACTCAACTAAACAATGATGCTTCAAAGTATACTTTTGTTACACTCAAGGAAAAAGTGTAGATATTTTCCAAATCAAAACACAAGTTAACACTTAGGAAGGCTGAGCCAGAAGTTCCAGACCAGCCTGAGCAACTTAGTGACTTTAGCAAGACCCTGTGTCAAACTTTAAAAAGAGGCTGGGGATGTAGCTCAATGTGAAAGCCCTGGGTTCAATCTCCAGTACCACGAAAAAAAAATGTTAATTGGCTATAGTTAAAATCAAGGTTACACAAACGAAAAACATATTTCCTTCAATTTCCTTTTTGCACAATCATCTAAAATATTCTGCTCTCTGCCCTGTTGCAATAACAGAGTAACCAAGACAGGGTGATTTTATACGAGTTTATTCAGCTCATAGCTCTGAAGCCCGGGAAGTCCAAGAGCATGCATGGGGCCAGGATCACCTAGGCCTCTGGTAAGGACCTTGAGCTGCTTCAACTCATGGCAGAAAGCAGGAGGGCAACCAGGTTCATGCACAGGAGACAGAGCACGCAGACCTCCCTGGGGAGTGAGAGCCACAGTCCAGGAGAAGGCCTGGCCCTTCCCGGAAGCAGATTGCTCGTGAATCTAAACATGTCTCAGGCTCCACTGCCTCTCAGTACCCACAGGGGCCAAGCCCAACATGAGTTTTGGTGAGGACAAACCATGCTTAAATGCTATGACTCTCTTACCTTTAAAAAATGTATTTTAATTTTTGCGTTGCTGGAGATCAAGAAAGTAAATTGAGTTTTCCCATTCCATCCTCTTTTTAGGTATATAAATGCACTTATTTCAAACTTCCAATGCATCTGTTTAAACTTAAACTTGGGTCAGAATATTTTAGCATTAGAATATTCATTGTTGATTGCAACAATGAGAGTTTTTGTTGTTCATTTAAGAAGTGATACATATTCAAGCTTTCACAGATGCCTGTACTTTATGAAAGGGAGGGAGTGGTTATATAGGCTCAACAGAAAGGGAAAAGGTCCTAGATATAAATATTTTATAACAATCAAAATGCACTTTGGATAACAAATCCATTTATCATGGAGACTCTTTTAAAAAGTCAGTACATTTAAATCACTGGCCTTGCTTGACTTGCTAACTAAAGTCAGACTCAGCAGGTGCTGTTATTGCTGCAAGTGAAGCTAGGCTACATGGCTTGGTGCGTTTGTTCATACGCACTGCTCCACGGTGAAAGGGCAGAAATTTCGGACAGAAACAAAAAGCTGTAACTCAACTCTGTCACCACCAAAGGAAATGAGGTTTACCCTCAAGGCGACTTTGGGCTCTTGCCAGGCTGTCATATTAGGCTAAAATTGACCTATGGAATCAAAGCCTAAGAGAAAGCAAGCCTACCTATAAGGACTGCGAGGTGATTTTATAAGCCTTCAACTTTGTCATTTCTGTACCAGCAGGGACCGGAGCTAAGTAAACAGGCATTGGCATAGTCAGGAGGGGGAGAAACAAAAAGATTGCAAGGCGCAGGCTTGTATAATACCTTTGCGTCCTCTGCGGTTATGAGGGAGAATCGCAGACCAACTGCGGATGGAGAGTCTGGTCCGGAATCCTTTTCTCACACTGGCAGGTGCTGCAGCATGCACACGGGGCTTTGCCAAGTCCCTCACACCTCCGTGCTGTACCTGTCACAGTTCCACACGAGCCTCCTAGAGCAGCCAAGGAACAGTCAGTTACAGCTGACAAGCTAGGAAGAGAACATGAAGATGCTTCCAATAACGGGGATAACGTGATAGTGGGAAGGAAATAATATCCCACTGAAGCTTGTTCTTTAAAATGTGATTGTTTCTTCAATGCCTGGAGTTTATAATGGGGAAAATGTAAAAGCCATAATGGAGAAATCTTGAGAATGAAACAAGCTTATGGCTGATTGCTTTTTGCTTGCTTGCTTGGGTATATTAACTAATATTACAGTGCTATAAACGCACGTGAGAAAACCTGGAACATGTTGATAGCCTAATGAATTACCTAGTACTCTACCACCCAGAGATAACTGCACTGTGTTGGACAGCTGTGTAAGCTTTTTATCTATACATATATTTTTAATGGACCTTACTATATGAAGTATATTATAATATTTTAAATATTCAATAGTATATACCTACAATGTCACTTTAATGGATGTTTGATATGACACAGAGGAGTTTATTTAAGCACATACAGGTGGACGTCAGGATCACTGTGTTTTACTCTCATAAATAATATTGCAGTGAGCACCTCAATAGACATGGAGTGCTGAGTTAACAGAAATACATATCTCGAGGCTTCTGAGATATACACATTGGTTTTGAGGTGATTTTTACTTATCACAACTTAAATTGCTCTTCAGTCTAAGACATGGGTTGTATTTAACCAGTGGTGATGAGGATAGATTGAAATAATAAAAACAGATTTCTGGTACATTTGGGGGGCTTTGGACGGAAGGATGCACCATTATTTGTATTTCTTCTCACCCTTTTTCAATGTTTCCTACATTGTTAAAGCAGTTATGGAAAGTTCGAGTCATCTGTCCCAACTTTGAAGACGATAGGAATGACAATCCTCATGTAGCACAGGGAGGTAGTTTGTCAGGCTTACTGCAACGTGAAAATGTGGAAAGGGATGTCAGGACAGCAACCGCGGCTCATGAAACCAGGCACAGGGCTGTTCTGAGGTCAGGGCACAGGTAGACTCCCAGGTCTCAACACAGAACACGTGCCGGCTTCTTGCTTACCGGTGAGCTATCCACCACCGTTACTTGGTTGCATGCAGCCAGTTGTCAGGCCTACTGTTTTATCTCTTAAAAACCCAGATGCTCTTTGAAGACTGGGCAGGAACCTGAAGCACAACTGTTGATGTGATGTGTCACTTCCCACTGCCTACATTCCACCATACCCTCCATAAACTTCATAAATGGGAAAGGTCACCCTAGCTCTATAAAGAAATAATGTCTTCATCTGCTAGTGAACAGTTCAAACTTACAGCACCCTCAACCCAGTAACAAAGCTTCCTTAAAAATCACAATGAAACACAAACTTCAGAACTAATGCTATTCTTCCCAACCCACATATTTGTGTATGTCTGTAAGTATGTGTTTTAAATCAACAAACATGGTATACTTTAATTTTAAAGTTTTTTTATTTAAAAAGCAATGGTCTATGTGCTGACATCAAGTTAAAGAAATCAATACTAAACGAAAGGAATCTGGCAGTGTGCTGAAATTTGGCAACCGAAAGATATTTTACATTCAGTGCCTTCTTTTTTTTATTGCTTTTGGTTTGGTTTCCATGGAAATGTATACTTGCTGCAAGCCAAAGCTTTCTGTGGTCTTAGCCATGGGGAAAAAGTAAAACTGAATGTAGATAGGTAGTCAGAAAAATGTTGATTTAAACTATGGGTGAGGCACATGCAAACCTCAGAAACTGAGTGAAATTCTACCTGGCTCGTGAAGCCCTGAATACTCTGCTAGGAAACCAGCTTCTTCCAGGATACGAGTCTTCACCTAAGACAGACAGAAAATATGGTCATCTTGGCAAAGATATATTGAAGCTGGCTTTGGGTATGACATAGGCCTTTTACTAGTTTGTTAATCAGACCTTTATTAGCATTCAACACACTTTTATCAAGCACCTACTTCGGGCCACATACTCTTAGAGACCAGGGCTAGCAAAGGGTTTGAGTTAGCTCACTTCTTCGTGTGACAAAATGGTTGAACAATGCTAATTTATCTAGCATTCAACAAACATCTATGCAGCAGCTTCTCTGCACCTGACTCTAGAGAACACAAAGACAAGCGTAAACTAGTAAGCCTGTTCCTGTCCGGTTTCAAATGGAGTGGTGGAGGCACCAAAGAGCTGTCAGGATACTTAGCAAGTTAATACAGCGGAACCAAGACCTGTTGGATGGGCTGGACATTTCCACAAGTGCATTCCATACGATTCACTGCAGAACGTGAAAGTGCTCTGAATTGGACTTTAGCTAGGAAAGTTAAAAAAAAAAAATGAGTAACAGCCTGATGTGAGTAGAAAACATAAAAGGAAATGAAGGTAATGAAGCTGTAGACATATAATTTAGGGAGATAAATAAAAGGAAAGAGAGGCTATAGGGAAAATTACAAGAGAAGGGCAGAAGAGATGAATAGGAATAAAAAGAAAAGGACTAATTATAAACCACGGTAAGGAAGCAAAGAAATTATTAGGGCCAAATCCCTGAAGAGAGAGATAGAGAAAAGTATATAGCTCTGTGAAATATCATTTGCACAAAAACAAGACAGTGGGCTCAGCTGATAATTTCCTGGGTCTGTTATATAATTTAGAGGATCAGGACCAGTCCACAGGGAAGGACACATGCAGAAATACAGTCCAGTTCTTGGAAAGCGAGGGCCCTCACGAGGAACGCAGGAAAGAACAGACACAGTTCAGAATATGCAAGTGAAAGATTTCATTGTAACTGCCAACTTTCACACCTTTGCTTTATCTAAAGAAAGCAGTTTGTCCAAAGAGTGTACTTAGAATGCAACCTACATCAGATTTTTCCTGTTAGGATGATTTTTCTTACTAGAAGCAACTTTCAAATATAACCTTCATTACTCAATATCAGTGGCCAATATTCAAAATTTTTATGATAAATACTGTCCTAGCTGTCCCAGATATAGAGAAGCACTTGTCCATGGACCAAGTGGTTACCAAGGAGATGGAATCAATAAACATATCATTTGTAAGAGATGCCAAGATTTCTTATGGAACATGATATTGGCAGGCAGTCCACTTTGGATTATTGCTTGAGCTTGCATTCAAAATCATGTTAGCAGACAGTCCTCACAGTCTCTAAACACTCCCTGCTCTAACTGCTTCAAGAATACATGTTCACACCATTATTTAAAAACCACTGCCTCAGTAGAGAACTACCCCTTGTCCAAAACAAATCAGGACAGCACAGGCTAATGATGAGTTTGCCTTTATCAATCTATGTTACAGTAGGATGGACATTGAAACACTGAAGAGTAATGTTTTATCACTACACAATGTCCATTAGTGAATTCTTAATAGATAATAAATGCTAGAGATTATAAAATATGGTGGTGTTTTTCTTTTAACTTCTGAGATTTTATTTTGTTAAAAAAACCTACTGTTCCCTGGATGAGAAGTAGCTAAGCAATCAGGGGAGAGATGTTATGGAAACTACAGACCAGTCCCCAATGTGGTTATCTTGTCTATTTAAGCCAGCTGCCTCCAATGCCACCAGCATCCCTGCCCTGGGGTGATTTCAGTTTCTCTTTAGTTTACATATCCATGATAGTCCTTGTTTTCACTAAAATAAAGTTTTGTTCTGTAACCAACTAAATTTATGGCCCTAGCACTTGAAAAGTAACTTCTAGAGCCGTGGATGAGTAACATATTTGGACTGAGAAAGCATCAAGTTATTCCAAGTTAAGAGGACAGAGCATGGGGCCACCGGAGTGAGTGTCTCCCTCTGACCAGAACAAACAGGATCTTTGGGATATTTAAAGAGTAGTTTGCAGAGCCCAAGCCTGAGTGTCACAAGGGGGAAAGTAACGAGAGCATCTTCTAAATCCAGAACTAAAGGGAACGCTTGTCCCTCCACAGGTACACATGGATGCCTCTGCCACAGTGGCTTTCCTGCGAACCAGGAGATGACAGCCAGCGCATATGACAAGAGCTCGTCCCTCAGCCACTCTTGGCTGTGTGTCCAAGGTGGCTACAGAAACTTCTGCTCTCAGCTATTTTATTCCCAGCTGCACACCAACTGCCTAGTGGATATCTAGGCATGTGAATGTATATAGAGAACTGGACTTTTTTCCTCCTCCCAGAGTTCAAAGTACTCTGCTTACAGTCCTACCAGTTCTATTGTCTTTGGATCCCAAAAGATTCTAACCATGGGGGCACAAAAGTCACGTGAAGCATGCAGGCCAAAGAGAGACTCTTTCCTGGGTACTTTTTACTCTGCTTGTCAATTCTTGGCTCTCCTGCTGTTAAAAGTTTGGAAGGAAAAGCTGTTGTGCTCTTCTCCTTCATGATGGTAATTTGAAGCATTAACCAGAGATCCTTTGCCCAGGAAAATATCCCTAGGGTTACTCAAAGAGAGAGGCCCTGTCAGAGGAAGCAGCTATTTTCCGTCTCTCTACCCATAGTGCAGAAAGTTCTCACGTTTGGTTTGTAAATTACATTTGCTGAATTTCTGTGGCAGCCTTTCAGACAAAGAGCGAAGGGGTTTTGTAAACTGAGATTAACTAAATAGTGTGGTCTAATCCCGTCTAGTTTGTGTTTATGCATGTTTCACTGTGGGATTTACAGCCTTAGCTCATGGAAAGACAGAATAAATGTAGTGAACTCAAAGAATCCAGGCTTTGTGTTTCTGGAATTAGGATCAGGTTCAGGTGGGACTCAATGGGAAGATTTAGCTGAAAACAAGATATAGAGATGGGGAAAGGTAGAAAAATATCAAACTCTTAACCTTCATGAAGACCAATTTAAAATTTATCTCAGAGAAAGAGAAACATCCTTATTAAGTATGCTCCTTACAAGAATGAACATACTGACAAGGATAAAAGTAGCTCTCAGCCTTATTTCTTCCTGATAATGGTTTCTTTCCTTTCCGACCCTAAGTTCCTGCCACCAACAACTCCATACCAGTGTTAGAGATCTATTTTTCTTTCTCTGCCATGCATCTGGAAGATTCTTGTACTTATAACACATCAGGCTTGTCAATAAAGAGATGGCAGCGATTGACAGAAGGGCAGTGACTCCGTTGTGAAAGGTTAAGAGTAGAATGTGAGCTATGCCTAAAATGTTCCCAACAAGCCTACTCGGCCTTATTGAGCTGATTCAAAGACTGCATTCATTCTTCTCCACTCCAGATCAGGTTGACTGATAAGGGGCTTTTATTATTCCTCCTCACCTGGATAAGGAAAGGGCTACTTGTTAGGAGAGGTCCTTTTGTTAAATAGCATATGTCCTTTGTGCTTATGTTTTACTTTGGTCCTTCACTGCCTCCTGGGTTTTACCAGGTTTCACTTTGGGGAGTGATGCCGGCCAGGGAATAGGATTGCAATATCTCTGTGCTGAAGTGGTAGAATGTGACACTCCAAGAAAAGAAGCTAAAAGCTGGGGATTTAGCTCAGTGGTTCCGCTGCCTGCCTTGCAAGTGCAAGGACCGGAGTTCAATCCCCGGTACCAAAAAAAAAAAAAAAAGAAAAGAAGCTAAAGTAGCAGAACTTACATATTTCTGTCTTCATTCCTTGCCTATCTTGGAAATGATCTTGATATAACAAAGCTGATTTATGTGGAGGGAAAGGAAGAAGAACAGGTCTGCTTTGTTTAATGTAGTGAAAATAAAGGATAAACAAATCTGAAGAACAAACATGTAAAAATCTTTCTGGATTAGACTGGCCATCAGAAGTTATACTAATAACTTTTCATAAAGTAAAATGCTATATAACTTTCATAACGTGTAATAATCAAGCACATTTACAAAGTAGAAAATTGTTCCCATTACCCATTAGATGGTTAAGTTAAAAACATAAATTAGAAGAGAGACCATCAGCCTCTGGATTAAATACAGGAGACTGAACAACTCACTCATCTTTTTCCCAACCTAACATCTCATTTACATTGCAGAAAGTTTATTTTCTAAGAGAGGAATCTGAAAAGAAGAAGACGAGAAAGGAAATTACAATCAACTAAAGATACCATTAGAAGATGGCAAACTGTGAACAAAGGCATAATATCTAGCCAGCTAATGCAAATGGAAATGTAAGTACCCCAGAGGAGGGGATGGATGGATGGATGGACGGATGGATGGATGGATGGATGGATGGATGGACAGATGAATGGGCAGATGAATATATGGTTGGATGGATAGATGAATGGATGGACAGATGGATGGATAGATGGATGGCTGAGTGAATGGATGGAGGGGCAGACAGATGGATGAATGGATGGATGGATGGATGGACAGATGGATGGACAGATGAATATATGGTTGGATGGATGGATGGATGGATGGACGGATAGATGGGCAAATGAATATATGGCTGGATCGATAGATGGGTGGACAGACGAATGGATAGACTTATGCTTTGGGCATCACAAAAATTCAAAATAATTTATACAGTGGGTTTCAAACATTTTTGGGCAGTACATTCCATAAAATAACTGGGAAAACTATGTATCTTCTCACTTGAGGTAATATCTAAAATCTTCATCACAATAATGACTAGAAAATTATATTTATTTTTCAATTTTTAAAAAATTGGTTTACAGTACTGTACAGTTCAACCTTTCTGAAGGCAAAGCCAACTAACCTTGTTGATTTGCAAAGTTGAGAAAGACAGGGAACAGCCACCAGACCCATTCTCCTACCAATACTTGAGATTAAACAAGTCTAGAGTGCTAAGTATGATGTGAGCTTTTTAAATTTTCCATGGAAAATTCCAAAGTCTGTAGTCCATTCTAGATTGTAACGCTGTTATAAGATTTCGTTAATAAAGCTGTGAATCAGTGAGCACTAGGTCTTGATTTGAACAATACAAAGCCTCACTGAGTTCACAAGAAGATGATTTTATAGGTAAATAATTGCCATATAGATGATCAGTAACTTGTACTGTCAGGAAGATAGAAAGGCACAGCAAACAGAGAGTGACCACCCAATGTAAAGGAAGAAGAGAGGTTTGGATCCTAACACTTGTGCTGCCTGGAAAGATGGCACCTAACATCAGACACCAAAACAAACAAATATGTACTTTCCCAAGTACATGCTCGTTGCCAAGCACTGTGTTTTACTTACATCGATTCATTTGATTCCCAACTCTGAAGCATGAAAAGGTTAAGTGACTCTGTTGTGGTTTAGATTGAACGTCCTCCAGAGGCCTCATGTGCTCACAGGTGGGGCTTTTGGAAGGTGATTACGTAATGGGAGTGCTTTACTGACTTGCCAGTAGGAGGTCAGAAGAGATAGTCACCGAGGTCATGACCTGGAAGGATGTATCTCCCTCCATGGCTCCTCCCTTCTCTCTTCTTCCTAGCTGTGCAATCTTTAAAACATAGCACAATTGTTAGCATCTCATAAATGACCATAACGAAAGGTATAAATAAGCACAAGAGATTAAAAACGAATAAATAATGAATGCATTGAGAGGCAAGTAAGAATGCAGCACTGTTATCTGTAGATTCTATTTGCAGTTATCTTGCAAATCTGTCCAATGTGCCCCATTTTCACTAGGCCAGAAGGACTACAACTCTGCCCATCAGCAAAATAAATCTCAATCCATTACAAGTAATATAGGCAAAGCAAAACTGGCGGTAGAAGGAAGAGAAACCCAGAACCTAATGCAGCTACACGGAGCCTCATTTTCTCCAGTCCTCAGGGAAATAATTAAGTAAAAATTTATCCATTTTCTGTAAAACTTTACTAGGACACACAAAAGAAAATTTGAATAAATAAAGCCACAGAACAGTTACAGATTTTGTTTTTTTTAAACTGCAGGACATGTTGCCTATCAGCAGGCAAAGATTAAAAAGGGCTACCACCCACTCTTTAGGATTTAAGGCACTCTATCATAGCCATAAGAGAAAATTAAAGAAAATACAAATATGTCTTTATGACCATTTATGGACATAAAATCAAACGCATTGAAAAGCCATATAACAAATTTTTAATGCATCAGATTTCTACTTCAGCTTCATTCAAACTCCTTAAAAGTCAACAGCAATGACTTCTGATCCCTCCCTTTCCTGGCACATCTCACAGTAGCGAGCATTGACATTCTTCATTGTTCAAATGACTTTCCAATTACATTCAAAATTAAGGACATTTTCCTCAAAAACTTTTCTCATTGCCTATTTGATGTGCTTCCCAAACCCTTTGAATGAAATGTTGGCAGAGGGACATTTTCAATGGTTATTTCTTCAATTTTCTCTTGCTATAAAATAGCATGCATGCACAAGTGCATGCGTGCACACACACACACACACACACACACACACACACAGAGTCACTGGCTCTCAGTCGAACTAGCTGTGTGACCACAGGCTTGGCCTGCTGGTCACTTTTACCACCCATCCATCACTGCAAACAGGTGACCACTTTGCCACCCTGCGTACACAGCTCTACACACTCATTCCCTTGACATCCTCTTCCATCTCCCGGAAATGACTCCCTGTCTCTACCAAACAATCTTGCTTCCTCCCAAGGCATCATGAGCCTGTCTTTGCCACCTAACCCTAATTAAGAAGAACACATTCTGCCCTGATGCTTGCATAGCACTGATGACATCATCCTTGTCGGTCTCCCCAGTATGTCACAAGCACCGTAAGAGGAGGACTGAGGCTTACACACCCTTGCACTTCAGTATCTGGCCAAGTGTCTTGCATATGGGAGAGCTGTGTTGAATCAATGACACACCGGAAGCTCCCCAGGCCCTGCTCCTGCTTCCCAGTATCATTTCTCAGATGCCACACAGTGTCGCTCTTCACTGCCCTTCTTCCCCTCACGGAGTCTCCTTCAGCATTAAAGGCTGACTGGTTGAGGACTAAGAACCAGAAAATCTGCAAATTTTACCAGGATGTCAGACTTTTCATATCTCTATCACATCAAGAATGTAGTTTGCATTTCAAGAGAGGCTCCTACCTCTATGCTTCCCGCCACAGCCCTGTGGACTGGCATCTGCACTCATGCAGTGTGGAACATTTAGGTCAATGAGGGGTCACATCTAGGACAGGGATGTCGTGGGACTGTACAGCCTAGTGACAACATGGCCATCTTAATCTGGGCAAGTACACAGCACCTGGCACTATGCACAACAACAACACTGATGTGCTTCTCAGGATGTCTTTGTTGCTAAGTGATGTGTGGTGGTTCATCATTGTACAGATGAATAAGCTCGGGGGAATAAAAAGAAAGCCATCTGTTTGCATGAGCAAAGAGCCACTTTGGAGCCAGAATACAACCAAGCAAACACAACCAGAACTCCTGTGCATGCAAATCCAAAGTCACTCATGCGGGCTGGGATTTAGCTCAGTGGTGCTGCCTCCTGCCTTGCAAGCACAAGGTCCTGAGTTCGATCCCCGGTACCAAAAAACAAAACAAAACAAAGTCACTCATGCTACAAGCTGGTACAGCCTGTTTCCAGGTGAATATTTATGGCATTGTTCAGTGAGGCCTGCGTGTAACACTGCAGAATAAATAATCCCTGGATGAAGTGGACTGAGGGGGTCAAATGTGTGTGACTTTCTCTCTGCTGTTCAGATAATGCCAAGACAGTAAATTGTGTAGTGGGCCCTAAATTATAATCACGAAAAACAAAATTAGCCAGGTGTAGAGGTCCGCTCTTATAGTTCCAGCTACTGGGGAGGCTGGAGCAGGAGGATCACAAGTTCAAGGGCAGCCTGGACAATTTAGATAGAAGATAGCTGGAAAAATGGCTCACTGGTAGAGCTCTTGCTTAGTATGTGCAAACTCTTGGGTTCAGTCCCCAATACTGGCATTGATCAATCAATCAAAATTAACATCCAATACTCAGTACTGTAATCAGCCAACCAAAAGTAATATATCCTTTAAAAATCATTTGGTTTTTTTGGAACCATGTGTATTTCCCCATGAAGCTCAATATTCACCCTAAACTTTGAACCATCTCTATGAGTGGACAGGAGGTTTCCTCATTTACCACCAGATAACTTGCAGATTACAGTCCTAACACCTCACCCCCAAAGTTTGCCACGAAATAGCTCACTTTTATTATTATTTTCCCATCATTCTAGTATATCAATAATCTTTGCAAACAAAAGACATCATTCTATTTATAGCATTCTGTCTTTAGTACTGGCATTTCCATTTATAAAATATACTAATTCTTGATGACTGAAAATTAAATGAAATCTAGCAGGGAGCTGCACTTTTTTTTCTAAATGAGAAATCTTAAGAGGCCACAGATAGGTTTCACTAGCTTAAGAAACCTGAAAATTTTCTCATTCACTATTATTATTTTTGAATAATATTACTTTTGAAAATTGCTAACCTGGTTTAAACTATTAAATATCATTCTTTTACAGCACGTTGGTAAAACTAGTTCAACATGCTGGTACAATTTGCAGATTTTCTAGTTCTTAGTTGTTAACCGATCAGCCTTAAGTCTCAATCGGATGGCAACAGTTTTTCCTTGGAATTTGTCCCCCATTTCAGTAGCTGAGGTGACTCTGACAAGCTCCTTCCCCCTAAGTAGTCACCAGACTGCCTCAGTTAAGTGTCCCATGCTCCTCCGTGCTGGCTAAGACCCTATGATAATCAGAAGGAAATGTGCAGTGAATACAAAGACGTGCAGTTCAGTAAGCACCCGAGGTATGTGCAGCACCATCCTGCAGGCTTTCTTTCCAACTGCAACCTCATTAAACCTCGCCACTAAATTGAGTCAGTACACAGAAGGAAACTGAGCCCCACGGAAGAGAACCAATGAGCCGTGTTTAACCAACTGGTAAGCAAAGGGCTGGGACCAAGGCCTGTCTGGCCCCAGGGCCTGTGTGAATCCTCCACCAGTCATCTTCCAACCCTTCGCATGCGCACGGTCAGCTCTCATCCTCTGGGTGAAAGTAACCAGAAAAAAATCACCCCTGAATATATACACGATTTAAGAATGTAAAATCTATGACTTTTTTTCTTTAATCAGAAAGAGGTCATGGTTGCTGCCTTCCCTCTTTTCTTCTTTTTTCATGATACAAATTAATTTCCTCCAGACAGAACAGCTGGCCGATCTGAATATAATAGCTCGATTCATTTAATGCATTTCCTCAACTATAAAATGTACCATTGATTTAATTAAAACTTGCTGAGAAAATCAATCAGCTGTCAGATTCGTCTTGAAATTGGTTGTGAGGTGATTCCTGTCTCTGGGAGTCAAGACTGCCCCTAGCTACATGGTGGCTGCCTCCACACGTCTCCAGCTTGCGAAGCTGTCTGCATGCTTCTCTGAGGCTTGAACTCCACTTCACCCACCGTAAACTCTAAATACTTAATTGTGGGATAAACGCATGAATGAGCAAACATTTTCCAGAAACAATTTTATCACTTAAATCTAATTGTTTTGAACAGAATTTAACACAAACATAAATTGACACTAATTTCACAATAGCATTGAACTGATTCGACTAGTTCCACATCCTGACTAACTTTGGGAGATGTCAGACTTCAGCTGTTTTTGTGCAGATGCGGTGGTATCTCAATGCAGTTTGAAGTTCCAAAGTCTTGATTACTAATGATGTTGGATCCCTTGTTATGTCATTCTTGCATCTTCTTTGTGGAGCACTTGTCCAAGTCTTTTGTCTATTTTTTAGTGATTTCTCTTTTACTGTCAGTTTGTAGGAAACCTTAATATAGTCTGGATGTGAGTCCTCTGTCAGATGTGTGCATTGTGACTATTTCCTTCTAGCCTCCAGTTCGTTCATCACTTCTATTTTGGATTTTTCCAGGATTTTTTTTTTTGATGGTATATTTTGGAAAGCATTTTGTTAATTTTAACAAAATTTATTTTATGGTTTTTTTCATAATCTGTGCTTTTTTTGTCCTAAGAAATCTTTGCCTACCTCAAGTTCACAAGAAAAATTCTTTTGTGCTTTATCCTAGACATTTTATCGTCCTAACTTTCATAGGTAAATCTGTAATTTGTCTCAAGTTAATTCATATTTATGGTGTGAGGTAGGGGGCTGGGATTCACGTTTTCCTAATTGATGTACAGTTATTCCATTACCATTTGTTAAAAAGACTTTTCTTTTCCCAGTGAATTCTCCCTGGCTATGCACTAGAAAAAGCAACTGAATTCATATATGTGAGTCTATTATTGAAATCTATAATGCTTCATTGATTTATTTAAACTATTTTTGTATATATAAATGCCTCAGTGACCTGATTATTGTGGCCTTATAAAGAATCCTGAAATCACATAGTTTTTTTTCAAGATTGTTTTGGCTACGCTAGATTCTTTGAATTTCAAATTTAGAATCTGTCAATTTACTCAAGGTTTGAGAATTTATCATTTCTTTTAAAAGTGTGCTGAATCTATGTATCATTTTGGAGAAAATGACCATCTTAACAATAAGTTTTATAGCCCACAAACATAGCACATACCTGTTAATTTAAGTCCTCTTTAATTTTTCTTAGTAATTGTAATTTTCCATGTAGCATCTTGCACATTTTTCATTGGCCTCATTCTTAAGTGCTTGAGGGTTTTTTGGTTGCTGCAAAATAGTATTGTTTTTCAAATTTTGTTTTGAATCGCTAACTACCAATATATATCAAAATTCACCAAATTTTGCACCAAATTGATAAACTTTCCCATTGCTAGAACAAAACACCCAACACCTCAATTTAAGGGTGGACAGATTTATCTTGACTCATGATTTCAGAAGTTTCAGTCCATGGCTCCCCGGCAGAAACATCAAGGCAGAAGAGCATGACAAAGCAAAGCTCCGGCAGCCAGGAAGCACAACACAGCATAGCAGGAGAGCAGCAGAGACACTATCCGAAGTCGATGCCCACTAACCCACCTCCAACAGAGCCACTCCTGATAACACATCCACTAGGACACCAGCGCATTAATCCACTGATGCGTACAGGGCCTGTCTGATCCACTCATCTCACCGGAGACTCTTAAGAGAATCAACTTGACAATTAATATTAACATGTACTCTGCCTAAATTCACTGATCAGGCATTATGGTCCTTTTACAGATTCAATTCCAGGAAGGTTTCTTAATATGTGATCATATAATCTGCTAGTAAAAATAGTTTTACTTCTTCCTTTCAATTTGTATGTCATTTCCTTGCTTTTCTTTATTGTACTAGTTAAGACAGCAGCACAGCATTCAATAAACATGATCAGAAAGGGCATCCTTCCATATTTCTTGATATTAAGCAAAAGTATTTAATATTAACTATGAAGTAAAATATTAACTGCAGGATTTTTATAGACGCCTTTGTCAGGTTAAGAAAGTTTCATCATAATCCTACTTTGTAAAAATTTTTATTATGATGGGTAATTGATTTTTATACCAAATTTATTTATTTTTATTCTTGAGACTCAAAATTCCAGGTCATTATTTGTTATTAATTTAATTTAGCATTCTATGAGCTCTTGTAATCAGAAAACTAAAACTCATGAGGGACATATTTAAAGATGCAAATCCAGAATTTCAAACCATGTCAGCAAATACATCAAGGAAAAAAAATGATTAAATATTGCAAATCTCTATGGGCAATATTTGAAAAACTCTCTACTTCATATATGAAAGATTCTTAGATAGTAGAAAGATGCTATTTTAATTAACTTGAGATTTCTAAGTCAATATAATTAATGTAGTTATTTTCTTAGGTGATATTTAATTACAATTTGTCATGTTGAAGTTTATATTTTGTGGTTACTGGAAAGGTACCACAAAAGTATTAGATTGCTTTTTCTTTTCCAAATCACTCTCTGGTGTAGCTTTTCAACTTCTTGTATTATTCTTCATTTGTAGAAATCCAGTTGAACTATTTGATTGTTTTTGAATTTTAGTTACAGATCCCAAAGCAAGGTATTTCCACATTTTAATGAAAAAAAATCTACTTTATCTTGATGCAAGGTGAATTGAAACAGTTATAGTTCATCTATTCCTGGGATACACACAACTTTATCAGTCTAATCAGAACAGAAATGCTTTTCCCCTATTTTATTAACCAGGACACTGGCTCCACGGTGTTTGGTGAGCTATGAAAGGCCTTTGTGATCTCATAAGAAAAATCATAGAAACCAAAAATCTTACAGCTGACATAAGTCTCTTGGATTAAAGCATTTCCTTTAGAAGTACAACTTTAAATGTACATGTCTAATATCCACATGAAAAAGTTCTCAGCATCATTAGCCATTAAAAAAATGCAAACAACACTTCAGTGAGATTTCCAACAATGGAATGGTTAAAATTTAATTTAAAAGTTTGTAATAATACACAGTACCAAGAATGTAGAGAAGACTACACTTCTTCTCATACATTGCTGTAGAAAGAGAAAGTACTCCAAATCCATCTACAAGATGTTCACTTCTGCAGCCCTTCTTTATAGTTGCCCATAGACATAATCTCCCTAAATACTTCCAATGTCCCATTTGTGAAACGTAATGTTCACACAGCTGTGCATATGTATTCTGCCCCTAGACCACCACACACAGGAAAGAATATCTCAGTTGCTGCTATATAGCTGCTAGAAAAATGTGAAATTTCCTTTAACAATCATGTTTATGGCAGCAATTTGAAAGTAAAGCTGAACATGACTACATGACCTTTTAGCATTTACTCTTATTTTTTCTTTTCAACCTAGATTGTAATCTCTTCATCTCTGTACCTGGAACGTAGTTGGTGTTATAGTTCCTGGAGTACAATGGGACATAGTAATTGTGAGATGTCCAAATCTTTTGCCATTTTTATTGGATTGTTTGTCAACTATTTTTTTAATTTTTAGAAATTCTTTAAACTGTCTAGATTAAAATCTTTGTCAGAGATAGGTAGGTAGGTAGATGGATAGATAGATAGATGATAGAGCAAATATTTTCTCCTAGTGTGTGGCTTGCCTATTTATTTTCTTAATAGTCCTTTCAAATAAAAATCATTTATTTCAGTGAATTCTCGTGTATCAATTTTTTATTTTATTTTAGTTTTATGTTCTGTCTAATTAATCTGGTTTCCCCTCCACCCCCCCAAAATAAATAAATACACATATTACTGATATATCAAGGAGTGAATTCTAGGAACAGTGGGGGTTAAGAGTGGTAAAAACTTATTGAAAGAAAGACAGCTTCTGTCTAAGAGAGATAGAAGGGGGACTGAAAAGTGTGTTGCCTCAGGAGCCTGTTTCCCAAGGGGTTTTATGGATCAAAACCACCAGGCGAGGCGGGTTTGAGGTGGGATAAAACTACAGCCAACTAATAAGATGGCAGGTACAGCTACTTAGGTAATACTGATCCAATGGGAAATCACAAGGTGGAGCAAATCTATGATCAACCAATAAGATTACAAGTATAGTGGGTTAGGTCATATTGATTAAATGGGGATCAAATGGGGAAGCAAGTCACACAGCAAGTATACAAGCACTGAGCAAGGATTTTTGGTAAGAGATGGGTCAGAGAGCTTTCCTAGAAGACCTTGCCCCCTCACCCAGGTGACTGATACCTATTTAGAACATCAATCACTGTATTCATCCCTAGGAGAAGCACTTGGGTGTGGTAGTTTCTCTTTTTCCAAGGCTGACCTTCAGTGAATGTGTCTCAATTGTCCTCCTTGTTGGCTCCTGGAGGGCCAGCCCTGTCTAACTGCCTACAAGATATCTAATTAACTTACCTATCTGCAATGTTATGATGGAGGGCTGACTAAACCCTAAAGCCACTATCTTACATTATGGTTTATTTATTATATCATGAAGCTTTTACCTTGGGAAATAGAAAGCAACAGAATAGAAGAATTAGGAAGGATAATTAAGCATTAGATGAATGAATCTATTTTTAAACTAGAAAAGTGTATCAGTAGGAGAAAACCAATGTGCTGTCATCAGATTGTGGAATCTCAACAGATGCGTGATGTTGAGTTCTTAGTTGGATGTTGAGAGTAGCCTGATCTCCCCATTGCTGAAGGTGAAGGACCCACAGAAATGATCCTGAAGAGCACGAAAGATTGGTGATGGTGTCCTCATGAAGTGTGTAGTAGAGATAAACTTGCCGATCGCAACAGTTTATCTAACCCAATCCTACTGACCATGCTCTTCACTTAAAAATAAATCTTTGAAGCACATCTCAGTATTTGAAGAACACTTTGAATAGAGAAAGGTGACTTGTTTGCAGGAGGCTGCCCCACAATCCCACCCTCCATGTCTTCTCTTCCTCCTAGACCCCCAATAGCTACAATGAGAATCACTCCTTTGAATTAGAAAAATACTCCTCAAGAAACCACAATGTGCATGTTATATACAACTATATGTTGTTTAAATATGTGCAAACATAAAATCAACTATCAGTATGCCCTAATTCTTATGAAGCTATAAAGCCAAATAATTTCACAACCAAAATTAACTTAAGTGAAATAAGCACACAGTGAAAAATCCAATTTACAACATTAATTTAAGGAGGTGGACACAGGTTGCCAGCCAAAGCATCAATACTGTACTAATTCTGTGATTCAGGTTCTTTTGAACTCCGTATGCCTAAAGAAGAGGGTGCTGAATGGTGATTCAATATCACTTTTCTCTCCTTAAAGTGCTGTGAAGTCTATGGAAAATGTGTATAAATATTTAATATTTAATAATTACTTAATATTTAATAATTGTTTGATTTATGGCACATATATATGTGTGGGTCATAAATTAAATAATTTCAGATCTGCTAGAAATTAAAACTTTAATTTCTAGGTCTCAAATTATTTGGCAATTCTAAGTCTTCATTCTGTCACTGGACAGGGTCACAGGATCAGAAGGGGTTTCCAAAGCTCAGATAAAGAACTTCACTCATCCAACCTGTAGAACAGGACTTCAGACTTTCCAAATCTCATTGCAGAAGAAGAATTTTCAGGTCTAGTCAGTAAGGGGTTCAGGAAGGTTTTAATTATGCAGAAATTAAAAGGTACGCATTCAAAGGAATCCATGGGAGTCCTCAAGAGAGGGGGCATTATTTCCCAGATTTCCCAGAATGGGGAACATTTAATGCTTCTCTTGAGGCAGTAGAAACCCAGGAAAAGATGGCTCACGTTCCAGAAGGGTACTAGCCCATTTTACAGGCATGGGCCTGGTTTGTTTGTTTCAGGTGGATAATTTAAGCATTTTGTGAATTCTCTCAACCTGTTCCTTTATCTTAGGATCAGGTTCCTGCTCTTCACTTTCTCAACCAAGCCAATTTATGGACTTTTGGTATTTCTGAGGAATTTTGGGTGTGATGAGTCTAGAAGAAAAGGAGTCTAAATTTAACCAAGGGACTGCTGATATAGATCGCTTTGGGTGACGTTGACTGGGCCCAGAAATTGCAGCCTTCTTAAAAGTATGCTTTTTAACTGGTTTTCTGTCTCCTTTCTACCTACCTTTTATTTCTTCCATCCTACCTCAATTCTACCAGGATGGCAGCACAAATCAAACCTTGGTCTTCCGGTCTTCCAGTGGACCCTTGGAAGAGCATCACAAGGGATGTGCCCGGGGAGCAGACAGGGACTCTGCCCCAGAGCACTGGTCCTCACAGGAGTGTCCCCATGCGCTTCACTTGATCCTCACAGGCTGCTAGCCGTGTGTCCTGTTTTTGTGAGGCTGCTGTCAGGGAGCCAGAAAGAGTTTGGATTCTGACCTGCAGGAAACAGCAAGAAGATGATACAAGGAGGGAGAAAAGGTCAGAGACACACATAGCTGCCTGCCCTGCTAGGAAAGAGGTAGCCTCCTTCCATGCCCCTGCCCCCTGTACTGGTATGGGACTGGCTGGTCTCAGCTGTCAGTTCTTTGTCTCCAGAATGAGTAATCAAATTGTTTGAAGTGAATAATTGAGAGCATATTTGTAATGATGAGGGCACAGTATAGAAGTTCAAAACAAGTATACTCTGGACTTGCAGTAAGAACTTTTGTCACCTAACATGGAGAGAAAGTCTTCTTCTCTGCAGCCAGCCTGTGTGCAGTATGTATTAAGCAGTGGAGACTCAGAGAACACGCTGGATTGCCTCCTTGCCTTCAAGTACTTAGTTCAAAGAATTAAGACTGTTTAAATGACAATTTTTGCAAGGTGTAGAAAGAGCTGGAAATGAAAAGGCCTGGATTCCTACCTCGGTTTGCACTAAGTCTTAGCTCGTGTTCATAAGCTAATCACTTGAATCCTCCAACTCTCATGTTACTCCTCTTTAAAACAGAGACCATGTCATGCCTTGCTCCAGCACTATTATCAAACCAGATACTGCGTGATAAATAGTACCCTAGTAAACGTGAGATATTATGATGAGAGATTTTCAAAATCAAAGCGACATCTCATCCAACTCCCTCACATTACAGGTGCTAAAACAGAATCCCAGAATGTGCATGATTGTCTATCGAGGTACAGTTAGAGCTTCCTCGGGGACTCCCCTGAGGGTGGACCGGCCTCGGTCCCAGAGTTTTGGCCTGACCCTCCCCACCTTCCTTCCTCCCCTTTGTCCCCTGTGCGTTAAAAAACAACGCACGACATACATGGTATTGTTAATCTAAACTTCTCATAGAAAATACTGAGGCGATCAAGCAGGAAAGCAATGACATTCAGAGTCTGAGAAGGTTTCCCAGAGCAGGTGCCCCGTGGATTACAGGATCTCCTTTGGATTCCTGTCAGTCCCATTGTTTATGAGCACAGATATAAACTCTCGAAGCACTTCCCACTCTCTGGGACCTCTTTAAAGGATTCCTCACTTTCTAAAGCTGATTAGTGAGCCTATGTTCACTCAGACGCAACAAAAAGCCAGGCACTTTTTAGACCTACCAATGGTTTCCTGCTTTTTATGAGGTGTCTTATTTTTGGTCAGTGCCACTTCCCCAACACCCCTACCCACTCCTGAAAGTTCTCACTGGCTCATCTGGGCCCTGTTTATAGGAGAAAGTTTGACTCTCAGTCTTTTTGAGTTGGAGCACCATTTGGAACAATCTGGCTCATAAACTCCTACAGCTCCTTTCTTGGCCTTATCATGACCTGAACATTTTGTTAACAAAGCACCCTGTTAATGTTTTGACCACAAGAACTAATGTGCTTCAGGCTGACCGTGTTGCCAAAGTGGTGCCTGCTCCTAAAAAGGGAAAGTATTAATTCTATTTTCAAAATAAGTCATCTTTCCCCAGCTATATTAGGAAATGTCATCAATCAGTCCAAGAAGCCTGCAGCCTGTGGGAGAGGGTGCTGGGGGGAAGGGAGCATGAATTCCCTGCTATCCCTGTACCCCACTTCCCGTAGGGGGCAGTTGAAGTTCCTTGTGTATAAAATGCAACTCCCTTCACATGGAAACAGGCCTGGAAAACACAAAGTCATCCTCAGAGGGTGCAGCCAGACTGATACCTAGGAGGTGACCCAGTAACAAAGCTGATCTGGGAGTCTGGGTGAAGTCACTCTCAGCTCCAGTCATCACCACAGTCTCAAGTCCTAAAAAATGATTCCTCTAAGAGTGAATGCTAAAGGCTGTCGGCCTGCCTTCACTAGGAAGGAGGGGAAGGTCAGGTAGAGTTGCACAGGGCAAGACTGGAGCTTCAAGACTCGAGAGTGTCCACACTGCTGGGGCTCGGGCAGCCCTGCCACTCTCGAGCACAGAAAGGGAAGAGAGAGTTCAAAACAGAGCCTGCTGAAGCCATCTGCAGGCAAATCCCATTAGCCCAGGTGCAAGGCAAACAGTCCTGTGCCAGATCCCCTGAGTCGTGGGAAGAGTCCAAATCCCCCAGGAAAAAGATCACCGGTGGAGGGGGACACTCGAGCCTGTAAGGCTCTTTTCCCTCTAATGCTGCTGCTCTGTGAAAACCCACAGATCACCTGGGGACGGCTCCACCTCCACCTCCAGAGGAAACGTCCTCTTTCCCCAAAACCTTTCTCGCATCACTAAAATGCTATATTGTTTTCCTCTCTTTCATAGAAATTCTCTCAGCTCTAATCTGCTTTGATGCACGTGTACATTCTGAAGTTTATAGAAATGTGTAATATTTACATTCTATAAAGTTACAAGAGCTCATGTTCATGAGCTTGATGTTCATGGGGTAGTTAGTAGTCCCCTTCTTAGTCTGCAGATTTGTGGATTCATTGATAGTAGGCACTGCCTACGATTTCTTTTACAATTCCCTCATTACCCAGAGGAGTTTCTCTTGAAGTATCTGCTCAAACAGGATGACTTACTATGTCTATGGCATATTGTATTCCTTCCCTCTAAATGTTGATACAAAGTCATTAAAATAAGAAATGAATGAAGGAAATAAAATAAAGGTAAAAGGATCTTTGGCTCAGTAAGCTAGCTCAGTTGTCTCAGGTCTCCTAAAAATGGGCCAGATCTTGAGAACACTTTAAACTCACAGGATACTAATACGGAACCCACTCCTAAGCATCAACCTCTTCCCACTCCCAGGCCAATATGGCTGACAATTTTTCCATTACCTCCCACAATCAGAATCCCAGGACAACAGTAATGCCCTTCTCTTTTAGGTCACAGTTCACCCCAGGCAATTTACATTCCTGACCTTTTAAGGGACAGCCTTCTTGTTTCTTGGTCCAATCCACAAAACCCTTTCATAGGTAGGAGTTTGTATTAAAGTAAAAATAGTTGAACCAAGATGCTGAAATCAGACAGAAATTTCTCAGTTATGGGAGGTAACCAGACAGAAGTTAGGTGGCAATATTTGACAAGGTTATGTCAGGGGGATTAAAACATGGAACAAGAGCCAGACTAAGATTCATCAATGGACTTGCAACTATTAGAGTCTGGGACTATGAAAAAGAAGATAGATGCAGGGGAGACATTTCTACCAGATCAGTCATTAAGTCAGGAAAATGTCACCCAGACACAAAATTCTAAAGCAGAAGTTGGGGGTGAGAACATTTCTATTACTAACCTTATGGAGAAGAATCAAACTTCTGGTAATATCAAGCATTGCACCAGTTTTATGTTGTGAGGCAGAGGTAATTACTAAAATATTTCCCCCAAAACCTCTCATCTTTCTAAATGTGTGTCCTATTTATGGAACAATGAATGGTTAAAATCTTGAGAAAATTGTGTTCTTCTAAATACTTATTATGTAAATAATAAAACATAAAGTAAAACATAATTTGTTTAAAAATTCCCAAACAAAAGATTCTACTGCTTGGGGAATACCCTCTGTGCTTTAAGTTATTAAATTAAGTTGTGTAATTAGTTGGGCTTTGTCATCCAAGCCATGTTTCTGTTCCACAAAAAGACAATGGGACAGAGCCTTAGCAACCAGATGAAGACAAGCGATTCCCAGGACTCAGAAGCCACAGAGCTGTGTGGCCAGGGACCGAAATGCCAGTACCTGTCTCCCTTGGGCTCATATTGGCCCTGAGTATGCACCCGAGTACACAAAACAGGGCCGCTGGCAGATTTTGCAACTATGTTAGAAGCATATGTATCGTTCTTCCTTCTCTGTTATAGCTCTGACCTGGACTTAGGAGATTTTCTGCATTAAGCAATTTAAGAAGTAACATCCTGAGAATGCTACATTTGCCTTGCTAAATGCACCCTCACTGTCAGCACAACAAACTACCCAGTCACTGCAGATCATAGCAAGTTTACCTGTCTCAGGGCAACAGCTGCTTGGTTTGAATTTTAAGAAGTTATTGAGTAATTGTGTCTAGTAATTGAGTAGCAGTGTCTAGCTCTCAGAACTAAATTCTGATTTGAATGGCACAAAATTATACTTGTTAGTACTTTTACATTTCTAATAAATATCCATAGTAGATAAACTTTCCATATCATCTAAGAAAAGCAAATAAAATATTTCAAAAAAATATAACTTCATAAGCTAATGATCAAGAGACGGAGGGAGAGAGGGAAGAAAGGGGAGGGAAGAGAATGAAAAAAGAATTAAGCTGTGTCATGTACATGTACTGACCCCCACGGGGAAGGTAGTCATTATGTCCTGCAAATGTGGACCAACCCAAAATAAAATATTTGTTTAACAAAAGAACTACAACAAAATGTTGTCTTTAAAGTTATATTTGCTCCTAATTTATCTCATTGCAGACTACTTTTCAATCCCTTTATCACACAGTGAACAAAGTAGGCTTGAATTCTCATTAGTGATTCAAGCATATTGATTCTAATTCATTACAGAGTTTACAAAATGTTTACAAAAATGTCATTGCTCTTTTTGGTATAGAAACTAGTTTGATAAAGTTCATAGTCCATAGAAGTATAACTAAAAAAACCTCAGTAAAAGTATGAATTTCAATTTGTATGTTTTAAAGTTTTTCTTAATCAGTAGACCTTGGGGGGCAGGGATTTAGCTCAGTGGTTTCGCCACCTGCTGCATAAGCACAAGGACCCAAGTTCGATCCCCAGTACCAAAAAATAAATAAATAAATAATCAGTAGACCTTGGTGAATTAAAATATCCTCATATTTTTAGTGCTGGAATTTTACAATAAATTTCAGAAAAGAAAATATTTTAATTCATTTTTATTTGTTTTAATACTAACTGAATATTTTGAAAGTATGTGGTCCCGTTTCATTTATGAATTGTCTTACAGCTCTTCTTTGCAGTTAGATATCTGGCATGCAATGTTCTAGCTTTTCGTCTAAAAATAGCTACTCTCGTACTTGAGTTAATATGATTTACAGAACTGTCACAT